CGTGTTGTATTAAAATCGATGACAAGTTACGCCAGTGTGCAACCGGAGCCAATTGCGAAGGCCAAGCTCCAGGCGCGTTAACTTACAGATATCACTGACCGAACATGTTGCGTAACTTCACAGCTTGGCACATGCGGGCAAGAAACGAAGTTATAGTTAGACTAGTCCGCGTTGCCGCAACTTAATCGTGCCTGTTCTCCTAGGAGTACTTTGACCATCTGTGGCACTTTGCTTCGTTCTCATACTTCAATTCGCACAGTATTACGGGTCCTTCCAGGAATGAAGCCTGGAAAAGAGCAAGAAGCACTTGCTTTCCGAGCACGCTGTTTTCTCACGTCAGGGTGCGCACGCTCCAACAGCTTGCTCGCAGCCTTCGACGCTGGAATGATTGCCATATTGATCTCGCGATGGGTTGCATGCTTTCCGTTAGGGTTAGTGCACACGCACGCACAAACCATGACCGATGCCACGTTAGCAGAGTGTTTTAGTAAGAGCCTTTCGGCAATCGGCTCGCAGTAACCTAATATCCGCGCCAGACAAATCGTACTCCAGGCAGCACTTTTACTTATATCCAGAGAGCTTTCTTGCGCAGCTGTTCTGCCGAACTGCAAAAGCTGAACGCTGTCAAACATGGAAATATGGTCTGATGTTGACCTTGTCGCTTCGATTGAAATTTGGGATGAAAGATCGATCAGTATTGCCGCAGAAAGTCCTCGAGAAGCAACGGGAAACACTGTTCCGCGAGAAAATGTTTCCTTACTGCTATGCCATAGCCGTGTAGCCTTACAAACGAAACAGGTGCACAAGAATGGATTCGAACCCATATTGTTATTTTTAACTCAAACGTCAGCACGATTTGTCAGTTAGGAGCACTGGAGAATATTGCTTAGCTAGACTGAAGAGAAAACAAACAACTTAGGCCGCTGCTAAACCGGAAACGTCACTTTTGTGTGCCGAAAGCAAAGCTAAAATTTCTTGTCTTGACGGCTCGTGACTTGATCAGACTGGCTCAGCGTACGCAGTGGAATATTTACCGGTTTATCGATAAACAAAAATCGCGTTGCATTCTCAAGTCAGTAAGTTCAGAAAGGGTATTCGGGATAAGCAGCGCAGATACAGCAAGTTATGTTGAAGTATGTCTTGTCGTAATGACGCACTGGCAGCGCAGTTCACAACAGCAAGCCCGTTTCTCATAGATGTGTATATATATGACATTTCACAATTGAGTTTCAACGTAATAAAGTTAAAGCAATGCACAAAGTGACATTACGAGTATGCTAATTGGTGATTTCGGTGTTGTGGGAGTTGAACGAATAAAGTACTAGATGAGTGGTGACTCCGCTAGTTTATTTTGCAAGCAAAGGTAATTTCGCAGCTTTCTTGCGGACACATTATATAGTTGTTGGTGATGTTGAACGCTGTTTATACTTTCCGAGAGTGAAACCATACTTCAGTCAAATTTGCGTGAGCACGCTTACCACGACGAAAGAAAAGAAACGTCAAAATATTTCTTCCTAGTATTTAGCACCAGTGAAGAACCGGTACATAATTGCGACGTCACTTAAGTTTTAATGGCTTCGTGTATTTAAATAGCTGTTACTCAGTTATAACAAGTGAACGCTGAATATGTGTAATATCAGGCTGTCTGTAAAAAGCGTGTAGTAAAGTCGAGAGTCTTTTTTTCCGCTCTAAAAATGTAAAAAAGAACATCTCTGTTGGCGTTAGGTTTACACAGCCAGGTAAATGAAAACATACTCAAGACAAATTTGCGAGAATAACCGTATTTCATGAAAACTTAGTATGCAGTTTAAGTTACCGTACTCACCCACAAAATTCAAACCTAATGTTGGTTATTCATGAATATAAATTTTGAAAGACTAATTAATATATAGTGCCATGCGTTTACACAGTTTCAAGTACTGCTTCGACCACAAGAACAGTGCCTTTTAGGAAAGGTCGCCTTGGTGTTTCTTTTTCTTGATGAAAGATTTAATTACACCCATCAACTCATTTTTCCCTTCGGCTGCCTTGAAAAGGGCGCTCGCGGTTATCACGTGGCGCGAGCAACAAGTTTCGCCTCCAAACGCAAGTGTTATAACCCCAATTTCTTTCTATAGTTTCACGGGCACTGCCGTCTTGTGCTTTCACAAGACAATTTGTAAGTTTTATACGTTGTGACGATAAGTTAAGATGTAATGTAGAACGCACACATAGCCGTTATCCCTCGTATGAGGTTGCTATTGTATAATTTGTTCATACAGTGTACAAACCAAATACACCAGGTTAGCAGTGCATGCAGCATTACCGAGGTTAAACGCACCCGTGAAACTAATCCCCTCGGGACGTTAATCCGTGCGTCAGGCATGTGTGTTTCACCGCAAAACAAGAGGGCAGGTGTGAGTGCGAGTTTTCACTTCCGGGCAACAACCTACTTCCGGCGCCATGTATTCGGGCGTGCCGCAAAAGGCCCTTGGCTGCTGCCGGTACACCTTCAGCTTGCACATTCCGAAGTCGATTATTCGCACGTGGCCGTCCGAATCAATGCACAGGTTGTCGAGCTTCAGGTCTCTGGGGTCAGAAGCAGACACGGCAAACACACGCGCGAGAAAGTTGAAAAAAAAAGAGAGAAAAAACACGCGAGCTTAAGGGACACTAAAAGCACAGAGCTATACCAGTGCAGCGCGGTAAATTATTCGTTATGAACTCTACTGGTGTTAATTACCCTGTAGTAGATACGTGGTCCAGTCTCACGGTGGCAGCAATGTTGTTAGGCGAAACAGTCATATCTTAGGCGGAACAGTCATATCTTTAAAAAAAAGGCAGTTATGAAACATGACAATAGGTTAGATACAGCTGAGACCCCCTGGAACATTTTAATCGCACTACCAACCTTCGGGTTTCCCTACACATTGGAATAATGCGAATGAAAAACACGTAAGACTTTATTGTAAAGTATTAAACAGTTTTGGAAGGCACGTTGTTTGTGGTAAGACAGGGTAGGTTGAACAGAATGTTCAAATGACCATCAGCTGTATAAAACTGACAATAGTCTGATAACTAGCTTTTTTCGTCAGATATAGTTTTTTCTCGCTTATTTCTATTCAGTTACGGCAAGCACTGCTGCCACTTTAAAGAGATGGCGCTACCTGTCTATGCCCCCTTATTCTGGTCATAAATAATGAGATCCTTCCATTTTCTTGAATCTCGATGTGATGGCCATTCTATAGCTATAAGATTTTCCTAAACTTCAGGGGGGAAAATATCTGGCTCATATTCAACGCAAAGTAATTCATTTTTGCCGATGAATTTTGTAGGTCCCACAAAATATTACCAGTAAATACGACGTCACACCAAGTTGGTGAGCCCACCTGCATTTTTCTATAAGAAGTTTTAACGTTTTCTCAAAGGAAAGGTACTGCTTTTGTTAGACAAGCTGGTATTGCAATAGCACGAAAAAAACGTTTGCTCGTTTAGTCTCCCTTTGATACTCATTTAACCTACAGAAACCGGCTTTAGACTTAGGATTGTTACCTAAAGGCATGAGTTTTTTTTATATACGCCTGCCAAGAATAACATGGTACAATAGGCGTTGGATGCTGCAGGACAGTATTTAGAACCAGCTACACTGAGGCTGTTAATAGTAAGTAATCTTGACTAATTCAGTTTGTATTAAATTGTATTAAATCAGAGCTGTGACATAGAAAGGGTAGCCTCAATCATGATTTATTTTTCACAGTCTTAAAGTTAGGTATTGTGTTCTTTTGGACATAGTTTACAAAATGCGTCTGATTTAGACTAAAGCACAAATTCTTTTTAAAGGACCCCTAAAACACCTCTGAAAATACACAAAATATGCACGTTCATCTATCCCGAGGTTACTGTACAATTCGTGACGTCAGCTGTTTACGTGGCGTCCGAATGAGCTAAGCTCTAGATTGGTCGATGTACGAGAAATATGTGTTGTGAATTGTGCCATACAGTTGAATACCCGATCTGCCTTGTGTATCGGGTGGTAAACCGATTTCACTTGGTTTTCTGCGATTGCGACTGCGCAAGTGGAGATGGCAGTATGCATGTTTAAAAGCCCAAATTCTTGCTGGCTCAACACCAAGTGCTGACAGTGCACGTGCTTTCTTAACAACTAAGTGGCGAGGAGAAAACAGTGCCCATAGGAATGGCAGTGAAAGCGAGAAAAAAAAAGACTACTGTCTCGTCTTTCAACTCTGACTATTTTAGGGGCCCTTTAAGGGGTGTGACCTGAGAAATTTAGTCCACTCTTCAGACCAGGAGCCGGAAACACGTGGCCCGCGGCCCACAAATCACAGTATTCATCTCATATTTCTTTGATAACGTCGTGACTGTTTATGACATCGCTAAATGGTGCTCACATTATTTTCTCGCTTATGACAATTAGTGACGCTTTGTGTGAGCAAGCTACACCAAAAAATGACTGGTCTTAAGCTTCTCGTGTGGCACCATATGAGCTCACATCATGTTGAAACATGACCACGAAGCAAGAACTTCAAGATCGGCATCGAGATTTTAGTCATTGTGTATATCTGAATCGATATGCTACCGGAAACCTGTCGGTTGCATCCCCATCAGAAGTAGCCGATGGGAAAGGCGTTCATTAAAATGGCCGCTATAAACAGCTTCTGCTGACCCCCGTTCTCCGTTATTCGCTTATCTCACTGTTTCGGATGTTCACCGGACCGATTACGTAGATGGGGCTCGGTAGTGATTGCGAGTGTGAGACCCCTTTTTAGTGTATCACTTGGCAATACGACTGCATTTAGCAACTATTTTGGCACGTTCAGTACGAACGTCACAACATGAATTATGGATGACATTTTTTGGCGTACAGTACAGCAACACACCTAATGGCAGTGACAGAGTAGCACTGTGCAGGAAAATATATTTCACATTTTCAAAAGCCTTGACGCTGCCGTGTAAGAGAATCAAACTGAGTGAACGAGAGAAATGCTGTCGCATTGACTCACCTGTACACGATGCCCCTTTTATGAAGGAATTTAAGGGCGCAGACGATTTCGGCGGCGTAGAACCTGGGAAAATGACACAGTGCAGCAATTTTTGATTGAAGAGCCATATGATTTTGAAAAGAAGCAATATACAAGAATGTATGTGCTTTTTTTCTAAATTTGTTGTTCATCGCTAACGCGTCGCACCTGTATCAAACTTATATCGCATGTTGTTGCTCTCATATCAGCCGGAGCTGCCGCTGCCTGAATGACTGATTGAGAAAACCTCATAAAATGTAAGAACTTTGATGGTGCTTTTTTCGGCATTAAATTATAAAACATGTGACATACAGCGGTTGTTCGTAACGTGCATCATTATACAACAAAGCAATGGTGAATATGCAAGAGAGATCGCTAAAGTAAAAGATGCGTAAACATGCAGTAAATGTTGTGCTAACGCAACTAAATATGTCTCTGAGTCTGTTGACACAGAATTCTCGAAACGAATATGTTGTCAAGCTCAGTTTGAAAGAAAAAAAAGTTAAGCGCATTGGTTTAACCAGATTACGTTGATATCGAGAGAACGTGAAGTGGCAACCACTGCCTGATGATGGAGTAAGTCGTATAGGTGTGCAAACGAGGGGAACAAGTGCGGTGCCGCCCATCCTAATCACGGGCAAAGCCTGCCCTAAAGGTTTACTCATTTATTACCACGCAGTTTTTTAACGATAACGATGGCCGCATGCCGCTGATGTCCTATTCCAAAAACATTTAGTGGCGAAGCGCTATAGGGACATGCCTTGTTCATCCGTAGGGTTCGTAATGGAGAGATTCAAGTTTGTGAGACACAAGAAAACTTTAACAGTAGACTAATACCAAGCATAGTTGTCACGGAGCAATGTAAAAGACCCACAAGCCCAAACTCTTCATTCAAGTCGGCAATTTCAACGAACTACTAAGGACTTTAGGATATAGTTGTGTCGTGGACTCTTTACGTTACTCAATTCACATTATATAGGGCGACGTGCGCGTAGCATACGAAAGTTGCTCGCCGATACGATACCCAGAGCTTCGCCCACTCGTCCCGATTACCTTCGTGGAGAAGCGTGGATTTTTTGCTTCCCACATTTACTGCCGAAAAGCTAAAGACAGAAGGCAGCATATTGTGGGAAGCATGTTCCCGTTTCATTTTTATTTTTTAAAACTACAGAGCTGTTTTATACATTACCCCTTGTGGCATGATCGCAGAAAACTATCGTTATTTTAACTGAAAAAAACTATCATTATCATAAGCGCGTAGGTGCCACCCGTTGGGTAAGTGCCACTACTCATCAGTGATCCCATCAAAATGCAGGAGGCAACAGTTAACCTAGCAAAGAGAGGGCGGCGAGCCACAGACCTAGAGTACCTACAACGAGAGAATACTAGGCAACGGCCACCACCAGAAGACCCCGAAGCCATGAAAGGCTTCCGCCAACGACGGCGTTTCTCTAGATCTATGAGAAGTTCGAACGGCGCGAGTTTGCGTCTCTGGAGTTTGGGCAGCCTTGTCGTGTTTGTGAATGTCTGAGGTTCAAGTCGAACTCTTCCAACCTGAGAATCAACCCGTAGACAACGAAGCGTAAACTAGCTAAAGTCCAGCAACGACCCAGAAGTGAATCATAAAGAACCTTCATTTCGATGTTAAGGCCCAGCAGTAACCTAGAAGCTGTCAGATGAGTCTTCAGAGTCGCCCAGTTTCGCTGTTTCAGGCCTTGTGTGCGAGCTTCACGCTTTCTTTTTTACACACCCGTTATGAAGCATGTTGCTGTTTGGACCCAGCCAACGGTGGGAGGGGGTGCAGCCGTGTAACATGCACCCTCCTCTTCCCCTCACTATACAGTGTCTCACAGTGAAGCTTGTGCACGCCTTTCGAGTGGCTTAACGGAAGTGAGCGCACGCACACGCGTGTGTTGGCGCGTGCGTGCGTGCGAGATTACTAAACATAGTTTTGGGCCACAAATAAATAACTAAAGCAGTCGTTAACAAGCTCTATGGCGTGTTTTCGTGTTGTTGGAGCAATTGGATTGTACATATTATTATGTGCATGTGACGAAAAAGAAGCTCTGAAACTGTGGCGCTTTGTTAATCTTAAAAATTTTTCGGAGACTTAGGTTTCTACCCCACTTGAGACAAGTGGCGCTTCTCAGTTTTATCTCTGGTAATTATTTATTTATTTTACCGAGTTGAGCAACAATAGAAGCAAAATCTTCATCTAGTTCGTGGGAATAAGCGGCAAGATGGTATACAGTCCCAGAGATTTCCAAGCAATTGCTGTGTGCTGTCTCTTGCTACTGTAGAGGTTCATGGCTCACCCGAACCTCAGTAACTACGAGCCATGCGTTTTACTTCATTTTAAGGTAATTCGCTCGTAACAAGGGTGAATTGACCCTCGATGGCTTCGATTAGCAGGTCTACATTATGTGTACACACCTCTACGCACTATGGGCGCGGGCCGGGGCGGAATTCAGGGTGAACCATTCTACGTTGTGTAGAGATGGCTTAGTTTATGTATGCAATGTCAGGTTACTCCTATTGCGATTTATTATTATTATTATTTTGGTTGTGTTATGATTTCATAAAGAAGTACGATGCGACGAAGTTGCTCAGCATTATAAGTCCAGAGGATTTCTTGTCGCCCCGCCATGACGGCCTGAAGACTATAGGTACTCGGCTGTTGACTATTATTACTCAGTCGCGGGATCAAACCCCAACTGCATCAGCTGCATTTTCGATGGAGGCGAAAATGCTGGGAGCCCTTTGCGCAGATTTAGGTAAATGGTAAAAAAACCCAAGTGGCCGAAATTTCAGGCACCCTCAACTACGGCGTCTCTCATAATCGTATCATAATCGCATGGTGGTTTTGGGACGTCAAACCCCACATATTCATCAGCCTTTCTTGTCAAAACATTGCAATGTTTTCATGTTTCTCGTGAAAACATCGGAATAGCCTAGTTTACTGAAATATAGGCCTGAGAGTGTAACTGGAAGCTCCTCTGGTTGCTTTACCTATTTTTAAAATTTTAGATCTAAAGTTGTGCACACGTTGCTGATTGAACTGCGATAGATTCAATAATGCATCGATTGTCAGAAATAGATCCGACTAAAGCAAAATAAACAACGCGATATTTCGAAAGTAAGAGAACCATCGTTCACAATGCCAGACGCGAAGAAGCGTACTGAATAATGGAGTTATACAACATCAGAAATGCTACGTGGGATTAGCTGGCACTGTTGTTTTTAAAAACACTGCTTTTTAACAATGCCCTGTCATCAACTATACTTGTACAGGCTCATTCACGTTTGGAATTCATTTAAAGCCTCGCGTTCTACAATAATTGTGACATTAACCTTGCTCGATCTTGGTCGAACCTTCCGGACTGTTGGATGTGGAACATCAGATCGCCTCCATTCAGGAACTCCATAACAAAGAATAAATGGCTCTGAAATAGAGAAAACAAAACAACGAAAGATAACATTAGTGCTCCTGCGAGTATGTACCAAAAACATTTAAACAACTTCAGTTGACATTTACGTATGCTGGTAAAGGATCACGATTTCGTAGAAATGAATTGTTTACTTATGACACATTTCAAATCAGATCAGCTTCAATATATCCAGTGTTCATCCCTTTCAATTTGTTCATTAACTCGCCCTTACCATTCCAATTGCAATTGGATTGGATTGGATAAACTTTTATTTGGTCCTCCAATACACAGATCACTGTGTTGCGGGCAGCTCCCACGTGGGGACTGAGGTGCCAAGCTCCTCAGCCGCCTCGCGGGCTTGGTGGACAGCCCAGAGCTGATCTGCCAAAGATGAGCTGTGGATTGCCGCCTCCCATCTGGCAGAGGTGATGTTCGATATATGAGCGAATTTGGTGCACTGCCAGAGCATGTGTTCTAATGAAGCTATTTCCCCACAATGTGGACAAAGATTACTTGGGTATAGGTCAGGGTACATGATGTGTAACATTTTCAAAGTAGGGTACATCCGCGTTTGCAAAAGCCTTAATGTAAGTGCTTGGAGCCGGGTTAGATGCATGCTGTCTATCTCCAATTTAGGGCGATAGCCCCTCAAATGCATTATTAGGCACATGTTTGACACCGGTGACTATTCGCCAACAAAGAAGCTTTCTCTCCAAAGAAACTGTATTCATTTTGATATTTGTGTCACGAAAGGAGTGATCGGCGATTTCTTCTTAGGTATTAAAAGCATGTAGCTTGATTTAAGCGAACAATTAAAGGTTTTGTGGCAAGTGGCGAATTGTCGCGTATACTGCAGCGGATAGTGTTGCCTGTTTGCTTTGCCATACCCGATGACACAAGTTCACATCACTGAAGAGTACAGCAGCCGCAGCAGGCGCGTGCACTCATGGAATCAGCCTTGATTTAAAGCGCACTATGTTGACACCTAGGTCATCATTAACAGCTCAACACTGCGGCTTCAAGATAAAATATTCATGGCGGGAAATCAAATATAACGAGAAAAGATTGGTTTGTGGAGTTTAACGTCCCAAAACCATCATTTGATTATGAGAGACGCCGTAGTGGAGGGCTCCGGAAATTTTGACCACCTGGGGTTCTTTAACGTGCACCCAAATCTGAGTACACGGGCCTACAACATTTCCGCCTCTATCGGAAATGCAGCCGCCGCAAATATAACGAGAAAAGAAGCTTTTAATGCGCACTGCGCCTGTGCTCAAGTTTTCTGGGTTACATTGCTGCTTCGCGGGTTTGTAGAATCGTGGGAATATTTGTGTGGGTTTGCTTGTCGCAAGCACACTATAGATCATTGTTCCTGAAGTGACGTTCCCGAAGTTGACGCAAGTCTCTGGCAGCATGCCAGATATTTCGCGAAGGTGGTTAGACGATACTGCAATCGGTCGCATGAGATGTAAGCTTTATGCTTTTGCTTGGTATGTATTTTTGAGTCTAAATTCATGCGTGTTTCGGACATCCGGCATCGTGTAGGCTGTTTTAGTGCAGAGGTATGGGCCGACATTACACTACATCTTCTCTAGCCTTCCCTGTGAGGTGTGTGCAAGTTTTAGTATGTTTGTATTGATGTGGAATTACGCACTAGTATCCAATCACAGCGAGTGCAGTTTAGATGAGAAAGCCACGGTCGCAGGGAAGAGTCTATTGACTTGAAAAGTTATAGTTGTCTTCATCGTATGCTAGCTATATACTTCTGCACATTTTGTCGTCAACTTTTTTAGTACTGCCGATTGTTCGACAGGATGAGTAAATCTAATTGGATCAATCAATACGACCAGCTCAATAATAATTTGATTTCATCATAGTATGCATGATGATTTTATTTGTTCTTGTTTCTTTCCAACACACATTGAGCATAATTACATATTCATACGCCACGAATACAGTCTGACGTAAATTTGTTTCTTTGTCATGGAAGATGGTTAATTCTTATCAAGTCAATTTGGTAAGAAGGTTCATTACAAGCACTATGTTACAAGATCAGCGCAAATACAAACTCAGAAAGCAAATAAATAGCTGATTATAACGTGTGATTGATTGATATGTGGGGTTTAATGTCCCAAAACCACCATAAGATTATGAGATTATGAGATTTCATAAGATTATGAAAAAAAAACTTTTGTTTTTTGATGTTTGTGAGCGCTTCCGAACACACTGATCACTGTACCCCCTGCTGATACCTCGATGTTTTGTGACTTGTCCATGATTTTGTACAATTGCTTTCGTCGTTCAAGTTTTATTTTCACCATCATCTTGTGATTCTGTTTCTTCCGCTATGTGCGATATTGCCTGGTTTGTATGCGACTGTGTATATTTGCCCGCCCACCCTGTATGAGCCTGAGAAAGGCTTACAGTATTAAATAAATAAAATAAATAGAGAGACGCCGTAGTGGAGGGCTCCGGAAATTTCGACCACCTGGGTTTCTTCAACGTGCACCCAAATCTGAGCACACGGGCCTACAACATTTCCGCCTCCATCGGAAATGTAGCCGCCACAGCCGGGATTCGAACTCGCGACCTGCGGGTCAGCAGCCGAGTACCTTAGCCACTAGATCTCCACGGCGGGGCGATTATAACGCGTGCTACGCGTAATTACAACAAGACACGAAGTTAATTTGCTCTTAAGCTGGCCGTAAAACTGGTGTAGTCAACAAAGTACAGTATGGTCCACTCTTAAAGGGAACACTCGAACGCACACCATCAATATTCCTGGCCCTCTAAGAGCAAGTGGATTAAGAAACAATCTTCATGCAAGCCAATAGTCTCTCAAAAGGAGTCGAAACTTTTAACCACCAGTAGCCTTATGCATATCTAAGCCGCTATGATTCCGTAAGATAGCAAAATCTAAACATGCTGCTCACGCAGGTGTTCCCTTTAACAGTGGACCCGTCTGTACATTCGAAAATCTGCATTAAGCCATTGGTAAGTATACAGTTGCACAATCAACAGAAGAACGCACCCAAGTAGTAACGGTATCGTTTACGATTGAATATATGCTCAGTGCATTGTATTCGGTCGACCACAAACACTGTGAATGCTGAAATTTCGCATAGGTATAGTTTTGACTTGAAAGTGGACCCGGACAGCGGTTGGTTTACATTTGGATTGGATAAACTTTTATTTGGTTTACATTTAATACAGCTGATTTACTTCGCTTGACTTGAGAAAGTGCTACCACTTAGAATGAGACCAGGACAGAGGAAGACGCATACAGGACGGTCCCCAGCTACCATCCACTTTATCCGCACACTCCCTTTTGGGGGAGATACGAAGCTGGTATCTTTATCCAACACGGGAATGATGGGTAGTAGACCTCATCTTCACGCCGACAGTATGTTCGTACTAGATGCCTACGCATAATTTATGCATTGACTTGTCCTCGTGTATACCTGACGCTTGGTGTCCCAATCCGAGCGCAAGGTAGGAGCAGATTTATTGTTTTTCGTGAGCCGATATAAAGAAAAACTTCCCAGATCTTAGTGTAAGCTCTGTCATAAGTGGGCGCACCCTTGTTAAGTGGAAACAGCGCAGAAACTGAACACTACACGACAACCGAAGATAACAACGCACGGCAAGAAATGAAGACGAGGAAGGAACGCACACAGCGCTGTGTGTGTCTGTTCCCTCTCTTAGTTTTTGCCATGCGCTCTTTCTTCAATTACAAATACACACCAACTAACCGGACGTGCCATTTTGTAAGGATCAATAGTTTCTTGTTATGGTTATAGGAGAGAACTGTCGTCGGCCTGCGACCTTCCTGCCACCATAAGAACCTAATGAACTTGACTAGTCTTCGTGTTGGCTGCTTCGAACATACATGTGGTTTTGTTTATCGTTGTTTTCCGACTTCAGTTTTGGAGTAAAAAACGCATCGTCGAACAATTCAGAGTGAGTACAATAAAACGGTCGAAACGGTGAAACTGAGCAGTAGAAATGATTGCTGGTTTGATATACGAAAAGGACACCAGGATCCAAGAAGAACGAAGCTTAGGCAAATATATGTACCGCCCATCTCTGCCATGCTGGCTGAAGTGACAGGCATCTGAGCTCCTATCTACGAAGGTACAAGGTTTGTCTCCTGTGTATTGTTTCGAAACACGATGTCAGCAGCTGCTGTAGTTGTCGTAGTTCAGCAGCACGAACAGGCGAAACAAAATCCCCACAGAGAAGCAAGAAAGAGGACATGCAGCTTTGTGTAGACTCACGCCCTCTCTTCCCGCAGCGAGAGGGCGCGGCGCAAGGTATGCGAGCTACGCGCTGACGCGCTTCGACGCGTACGTGTGGTCAGGCCTTAAACTTAGTCCGCTCACCTGTGACTGGAAGGTGCAGAAGAGGTTGCAGAGGAACGGGTGCTGCGTGCCCATGGCCAGCACCCTCCTCTCGATGAGGGTGCACTCGACGTCGTCGTCCTCCAGCACAACGTCTTTCTTGAGGCATTTGACCGCGTAGTGGCGCTTGGTGCCCTTCAGCTCGGCCAGCAGCACCTGTGTTACAGGGCGGCAGACACTTCTCAAGTTTTGTTACAGTGCTTAAAGAACGCCTAGTTTTAAAAAAAAAAGAACAAAAGATCGGAGCTGAAACCTCAAACCCAACTGATGAATGGCATACAATAAATAAAGCATGAAATTACGCCCCTACCAGAATAAAGAAAATGAAAATAAACTGACATCAAATAGAAAATACTAATCAATTCACTTTCCTCACGCAAATGGGACCTGCCCATGCAAAGAAGTTGTCACACGCTGGTTGACAGGATCTGAGGACCTATAGAGAAAAAAAAAACCCAATTTACCAATGTATTTGAAAATTTTATATATATGTGGTCATTAGCAAACGGAAGGGCTTTACTTGAGTACCGGTGCAGCATATATGACGGAATACATGCCAGAATTGACAAACACCACACAAAAAAAGAATGCAGAAAGCAGTGTCTGGGGAAAATTATGAAAAAGTAGTAGATTAAACTTTCATGTGGACTGCTACAGAAACAATGTAATATGTGAAATAATGAAGCAAACGGGAAACAATATCTCATCGAAGAACATGTGTGAGCTGAGGCGCTGACATGTGTAGTTCATTTCATGAAGACGATATTAGTCATTGTTTAGTACATCGCGCGAAGACATTATTATTACGGACAGTGCATCAATCGCTCCTGAAGCACACCTTTATAGAGATTTATTAAGGCGCGCAATAACGGAAGCAACACACAGACAGCGCATTTAGGCGTGGGCTATACAAATCAGACTTTTAACCATACTATACTAGCCAAGGGGCGCTATGCAAAGTCACCCAAGCTTGTCCGAGCTTGGCGAAACTAGGGATTTTGCTGAGCTCTGGCGACACCGTCTTGAATGAGCCAACAGAGCGAAAAAAACAAATCAACCCTTCAGTGCGCTGCGTTTCATTGCTCATAATGGAACCCGAAATCGCGTCAAGGACGATCGACAAAGTTGGTTGGCGTTTTCAAACCAGAGACATCTTTCATTTGTTTCTCGTTCCACTGTGTGCAGAAGTAAGTGCACCGATGCAATAAACGTGTCAGTAGCTTTTCCTGATTATGTTTTTAGAGGGCGTTTAAACTTATGTTGAAGCATTTAATCCTTGCGCTAAGTCTGCTTTAAAGAAACCAGCCCCGTGGCCTCTGAGAGTCGCTCCTGCCGAGTGCCTCACAACACCGCCACCACAGCTAAACCCCATGTTAATCCTCGCCGTCAGCCTGTAAGTTCTGGCGCGCGGCTTGGTCGGTGCGCGTCTTCTTTGTCGTCACCATCCGCTAGCACCCCAGCAAGTGCGGCCGGCTAATCAGCTATTGGGCTGGGTGGTATGCTTGGATAGTATGGCCATAAAATTATATGATCATGGTAATTAATCCAAGTCGTGGTAAGATTGAAATAACTCCTCCTCACCTCATTAATACCATGGTAATCAAGCCAGGCAAAGCTAGAACTGCATCCTAGCAAACTTTAGTTAGCAAACTATATAGTATGTTTGTTGACATGCTACACCACGCTAACTAACGTGGCAACCTTCCTGAACATGCTAAACAAAGCCGTGCTAACTAGAACTTACTAATATTATGGCGATTAGTCAAGAATTACGATCAATAGCTCTATACTAATGATAGCATCACTAACTGCACCCAGAATAATTATTGTTTGTTGTTTTAATAAACCTTATCGAGTAAGACAAAGCTGGTAAGTGTATGCTCACTAAGCCTTAGATAAATAGCATGATCGAAATAAGACAAGGCTCATGTGGCCTTCCCTACGAAGCAGACCAAGCAGATGAGTAGACGACTGAGTTGAAAAACTGGAAGTAGCTAGGTTGTCACAAATAGCAATGCAAGATGATTGCCTTAGTTTAAATGCTAAGAAACAGATGCTTAGTGTCCACCGCATCAATTGCTTGACAGTTACACAAGCATCATGGCAATCACGAGTTGAAGTGAGGGCTTCCAATACTTAACGAGTTTTTATCTGAGTTCACGCGTCAATCACTTTGATTGACGGACAACCGCGGCGAAGATCGGATCCTCCCACCTCTCCTGCTCTTGTCGAGGAGCACTGCTCACGCCGCAACGCGAGTGATCTGCCCGATACATTTATCAGCTTTAGCGCGCAGACTTTGCACACACGTGCGCAGAAGTAGAAGACATATCGTCACATGCCTACTGCGTTTCGCATTCAATTTCCCGTGGTCACGACGTATTTATTCACAGCCGCGTTGCCGCCGTGATGCGAGCGCCCCTGGTGACAACCTGTCGTTATACTGATCTGCCATATTTCGTAGAAGCGAAACGAGCAGCACGAGGGTGCCGCTTGTGCACCCTTGCAGCCTTCGAGAGTGGAAATTTTACTATTGCAGATGGAACGAAAGAACCTACCCGAAAGAAGGGGACGCCCATGAACCCGCCTGTGGAAGGCACGTGGTGCGTTGGCAAAAAAAAAATATAGCACTACGATCAAGCTGACGGTCCCACACTGTTGAAATGTTGACTCAGGGGCGGCGCTGACGTTTACGCTCGAACATACTGCTTCTTTGATAACCTCAGCTGACGCGCAACATGCGTTTATGTGTTCTTGTAGCAATTTTCATCAGCGCTGCTGACACGCGCTCCACACCAGGCTTGCCAGATCTCCGAAGAGAGGAAAAAAAAAGCCATGAAGTTGCCCAAGGTAGCCAGAATAGTAGCCAACTGACAGCCGTTATTAGATGCGAAGCAGCGCCGTGACCAGCCTGTGCAAGGCTGTCCCTCCGTCCACACAGGTCCTTTCGTCGCAGGTGTTGGAGTGGTGCCAAGTAGCTCACGCCCTCCTAGCAGTGCGCAATGACGTTGTTGTTGTTGTTGTTGTTCTCCTATTGTTAGTGGCGCATACCCACTGTGGGAGATTGGCCAAGAATCGAGTGGTTTCAAAATTTACTGTTGTGATTTGGAATGATGGAGGTTTAACAGAAAGATTACCGATAGCCTAGGAAAGTGTGGTGCTTAATGTAATGCATACAAATATTTACATAAACGAATTTATTCTTAGAATAGAGCAATATTCTGATTTTATACGAATATAATTATGTGGACGTCTTTCTCCCTTGTCTGCCGTGCGCTCGCAGCGTGTCAGCTCTTTCTCACTTCACCCTCTCCACCGCTCGCAAGGCACGCGCCCACTTTTCCAAGGGGATCATCTCACCGGCGCCACCTTTCTGCATCTGTCGGCGAGAAGAAGCAGCGAGCCAGCGGCCGCGCACGCTGAGCGTGCCTCGATAATCTCACGGTGCCGACAACCTGGACAACGCGTTGCTGCCTGCCGCGCTATCGCGTCGACGAGTGGGACACCGTCCTTGCATGCTTCCAGCTAGTGTGTACGTACCTTTTCTGGGTGTCGCCGGCGTCGCAAGGGTTAGAGAAGCCGATCGCGCTCGCGAATGGTGACGTCAACACCGACGAGGCGCGAGCCAGGGCAGCCAAACGCAAGTGTTGGCAGTGGAAGATAAGCGAAACCGACGAGGTGCGAGTCAAGAACACCGATCACGTTCAAGAATACAGACGGCGCACGGGTAACACCGACGAGACACGAGGCAAAAAAAAATGGCAGATCCCACGTACAGTGGGAATCGATGGTATGCGAAACACCACTAAGAAATGTTGATATGTCACTTTAAAATCAGCCCAACGTTATGAGGCGGAGGTAAATGAGGCGTACATGACTTTCGTACAATGAATATCATGTTTGGATGTGTCGTATACCTTTGTCATCTATACACGTCACGTATTAAATTTAGTACATGTGGAGCTAGCGAAACGCCCGCGAGCACGATTTGAGCGCGGTGTGTTGTCATGTTCTTACATGACACGCGTTTCAGGACTTTCATGTTTGCACCAGTAATATATTTTGTGATCTATTGACGTCACGTAACACCAATTTAGGTATACGTGGAGCTAGCAAAACGGCCGCGAGCGCATTATGAAGGGCCCAATATACTCCAATGTTGCGTTGACGCGCACGCACACTGGGCGCAGCGACGCTACTTTAGCAAAACGCGAGCACTCTATAGTCTGACTATCCGTCGCAACCGGCGCGAAATGCGACATGCTGCATTCGGTGCCGATGCGTTACCCAGACAACACTGCGTTTCCCTTTTTTCCTGATGGAGGGACGCTGGACGAATTTATACGTGCATGCGTCAAAGCAACGCAGCGCAGCGCGCACCTGCGAGTATATGACATGGCAACGCCGGCATGACGCAACGAAATGAACGCCAGCGAGCACGCGCACCGCGTCACAAAAAATGTATTGGCGCCTTGGGTGTGACATGAAGTCATGTTCTCGCATGACACGCATCTCATGATTCTAATGTTTGCACCAGTCACATACATTCGTCATCACTTGACGTCACATAATACCAAATTTGGCATATGTGAACCTAGCAAAACGGCCGTGAGTGCGTCACGAGTGCGGCAGGTAGTCATGTTGTTACACGACATGCATGCCGTGATTATCATGTTGGGATGTGTCATTTACCTATGTCGTCCGTTTGCGTCACGTAATACCGAGTTTGGTCATGTGAAGCTAGTGAAACGGCCGCGAGCGCATCGTGAGCGTAGCACGTAGTCATATTGTTACATGACACGCATCTCATGTTTATCATGTTTGTACCAGTATCATTCCTTCGTCATACATTCACGTCCCGTAATACCAAATTCGGTATAAGGGAAGCTAGCGAAACGGTCGTCAGCGCACCATGAGCGTGGCGTGTAATCATGTTGTTACATGACAAGCATCTCATGATTATCATGTTTGCACTAGTCACATATATTCGTCCTCGATTTATGTACCGTAATACCAAATTTGGTATATCTGACGCTAGCGAAACGGCCGCGCGCGCATCATGAGCGCGGCATGTAGTCGTGTTGTTACATGACATGCGTCTCATGACTTTCATGTTAGGGTCTATCGCATGGTGCAATCATGTCATACCATACCAC